TCATGGATAGGCAGAATTAACATCATTAAAATGGCCATACTACCAAAAGTACTCTGTAGGTTTAATGCAATGCCAATCAAAATCCCAATGGCATTCTCACAGAAATAGAAAAGGCAATTCTGAAATTCATCTGGAGAAATAAAAGACCCAGAACAGCTAAAGTAATTCTAAGCAGGAAGAGTGAAACAGGTGGTATTGCTATACCAGATCTTAAACTATACTACAGAGCAATGGTAACAAAAACAGCATGGTACTGGCACCAAATCAGGCAGGTAGACCAATGGTACAGAATAGAGGACACAGAGACCAATCCACAAAATTACAACTACATTATATTAGACAAAGGTGCTAAAAGCATGCAATGGAGAAAGGATAGCATCTTCAACAAATGATGCTGGGAAAACTGGAAATCCATATGCAACAAAATGAAATTGAATCCCTTTCTCTCACCATGCACAAAAGTCAACTCAAAATGGATCAAAGAGCCAGGAATTAAACCAGAGGCTCTGCATCTAATACAAGATAAAGTTGGCCCTAATTTTCATCACGTGGGGGCAGACCCCAAATTCCTTTAAAAGACACCTATAGCATAAGAGTTAAAACCAAGAATCAACAAATGGGACGAATTCAAACTAAAAAGTTTTTTCTCAGCAAGAGAAATAATATGTGAGGTGAATAGGGAGCCTACATCCTGGGAACAAATTTTAACCCCTCACACATCAGATAGAGCTCTAATCTCTAGAGTATACAAAGAACTCAAAAAGTTAAACAAAAAAAAAAACAAATAACCCAATCAACAAATGGGTCAAGGACCATTCTCAGAAGAGGATATACAATCAATCAACAAATAAATGAAAAAAATGCTCACCATCTCTAGCAATCAGAGAAATGCAAATTAAAGCTACTCTCAGATACCATCTCACTCCAGTAAGAACCACAGCCATTATGAAGTCAAACAACAACAAGTGATGGCCAGGATGTGGGGAAAAAGGTATACTCATACATTGCTGGTGGGACTACAAATTGGTGCAGCCAATTGGGAAAGCAGTATGGAGATTCCTTGGAAAACTGGGAATGGAACCACCATTTGACCCAGCTATTCCTCTTCTCAGACTATACCCAAAAGACCTAAAAATGGCATACTACAGGGACACAGCCACATCAATGTTTATAACAGCACAATTCACTATAGCTAGACTGCGGAAGCAACCTAGATGCCCTTCAATGGATGAATGGATAAAAAAATTGTGGCATTTATACTCAATGGAATATTACTCAGCACTAAAAAATAACAAGATCATGGCATTTGCAGGGAAATGGATGACATTAGAGCAGAATATGTTAAGTGAAGTTAGCCAATCACCCCAAAAAATAATGCTGAATGCCTTCTCTGATATAAGAGGAGTGACTCAAAATGGGATAGAGAGGAAGAGCATGAGAAGAAGATTACCTCTAGATAGGGAAGAGAGGTGGGAGGGAAAGGAAGGGAGAAGGGGAATTGCATGGAAGATGGAAGGAGACCCTCATCATTATACAGAATACATGATGACGATGTGAGGGAAAAATAAAAAGAAGTGTGTCACATTAGATTAGGTAGAGTGAAGTAATGGGAGGGGAGGGGAGGGGAAGGGGAAAATGGAAGGTCAGCAGAATAAAATAGACATTATTATTGCTGTGGGTATATACGTGACTGCATAACGAATGTGATTCTATAACATATACACTCAGAAAAATGAGAAATTGTATCCTATCTGATTCAAATGTATGATATGTCAAGATCATTGTACTGTCATGTGTAACTAATTAAAAAACAAATAAAAAATAAAACTCATAAAAAGTAATTTAATACCTTAAAATTATAAGAAAAATATGGTCCTTTTAATAAATGAAGAAAAATTGAAAAAAAAAGAATCCACCTGTCAGTTTCTCAAGTTCATTCATTGTCCTTAACTATTTTAAATCCATAAAAGTTTCACAAAGCCTACATTATCCTTCACAACAAATGTTCCCTCTCTTTTGATTGACAGTATCATCTCATGCAGTAAGTTTTGTTAAGGCTATAAATTCTACATTATTATATATTAAAATTAATAATGGAGAACAAATAAATGGAAGGTGGTGTTTGAGACATTTCTGTTCAAGAAATGATAATAAAACCATAATTTCTATTTGTAAAGATGTCATTTAACTATTAGTGAATTCACAAGAGAATCATAGTAAACAAATTCAACAAAATCAAATTTATTTTGTTTTCTTTTAACTCATAGTTAAAGAGTCTTTTTCAAAAACATTTTGAGGCTATAGCCTCAGATTTTGTGTATATATATTTTTAATTTATTTTTATTTACAATCATTTCTATGACATGTTTTCCACTTTGTGAATATATAACATTTCATTTATGAATTTCCTATCAATGAACATTTCAGTTTGGAGCTCTTTACAATATTTTATTCCCACTTTACATCAGTGCTGCTATTAACATCCATGCACATTTCTTTGTATTCATCTGTGTATAAAATTCTGCAAGCCACCAAGAAGTGAAATTGCTTCAACATGTCTTTTTGTTGTTGTTTGGGTTTGAGTTTTGGTTTAAATATTGCACAAAAGGAAAAGAATGCATTGCAAAACAAACTAGCCTAAGATCTCTTGTTCTTAATATATATTTTTTTTTCATTTCCATTAGTATTTCAGGTTTATATAGGATTGACCTATCTCTTGTGCCTCAAATGTACACTTATGACTTGGTGACTATGACCTCCATTTCTGCCTCAACAGGTTAAAAAACTGTCAGAACACATTTGTATTTGCAGCAACTTCCCAGATCATACATTTTAAGGTTTCATTGAGCTACTAGATGTTCCCTCCAGGTCTTTCCATGTACTTCACAACAATATTCCAGTCTTCTCAGAGACACAATTCTTTGTTAACAGACACATGATTCTCTTCTACATAAGGACAACTAGTACTAAAAGGTATTTTTAGATTTTTTTTCTTCTCATCTAATTATGCTACCCCAAAATTTATAAGTTCAAGCGCTGACCACAAATGTGAGATAGGGCCTTTAAAGAGGTAATTGAGGTTAAGTGGAATATACAATCTTGGTCCTTTTAAACCAAAGAAAGTATTTAAAGACAATAAAAACACAGAGGAAAGGACAGGTGAGCACACAGTAAGAAGGTGACCATGTTCAAAAATGGCTTAGAGTCCTCAAGAGAAATCAACCCTGCCAGCAGTTTGATCCTGCAACTTTAAGCATCTAGAAATGTGAGAAAGTATTTATACTGTGTAATCTGTACTGAGATAATTTGTTACAATAGTCCTAGAAAACCAACACAGTGCTTCTCTTTCATCTTCTTTCTTCTTTTTCTCCTCCTTTCCTGAGTTGAAGAGTGGTTACCAGAATACAGCCAGATTCTCAATAGGTTCTTCTTCTAATTCAGTACTTTGGCTTTCCCCGCATTCAGTTAGAAGAATCGTTTTAGATGAGATTGACAAGGGCTCCAAAGAGATAACTCAATTTCTTTGTCACTCAAACCATAAAACTCTCCTTCTCATCCTGATAACCCCATGACCAACCCTACAGAAATTCTTGGCCTAAATGGATGCGTCAGAGAGGCATCCAGCTAGCTGGTCCCCACAGGCCACTCACAAAGTCCCTATCATAATCCCTTCACATCATCCCTCAACACAGGTTGGGTGCAAGAGTGGCCCCCTAAGACCATGAGCATGCTCTGAGAGATGAGGTTCCAGTCCCAGGCCTTACCCTGGGAGCAAGATAAATGCAAACTTATATGAAAATAAGCCCTATCACTGGATTGAAACAGAGAGATATTTTGTGACTCACAGACCTCAGAATTTTTTCTCCTTTCTCTCTTTCTACAAAGTTGAGAGGATCAATCAAATAGTCAACTTCTCAAAAAGGCACAATATTACAGCATACTGAGTACCATTTTCACTATTAAATTTATGGCAAAAACTTACAGGAGTTTAGTGATAGAGAAAATTAGCATGCCTTCTAAAAATTAAATTGAATCAAGAAATCTAAAAGAATAAACTTTGGCACTGTGTTTCTAGCATCACCAGTTGGAGATTGTGAGAAACAGATGTTCTGAGCTGTGGAGCAAAAGTGTTTCACCTTCTACTGAGATTGTAGTGAAACTTTTCCTAAGACCTCCACATTTACCTACATATGATAGACAAGCTTCTGAGTGATAGTCCCAGCATGTCTGCACCAGAGAAAGTGGTGGTAAGGAAAATAGTTTCTGCCTTCAGTACTTTCAGAATGTATGAAAAATATTTAGAATGAAATCACTCAAACTGCCTTCTGCATGAAAATAACATATATCTTTAAAAAAGATTATCCTGAGACTTGTAATTAAAAAGGAAGTTGAGAGAAAGGCAGGCTGAGGAGACATGAATACTGTTTCCATCACTTCTCTCCACTCCATTGTGCCAACTAACAATGGACTCTGAACTCACTGAGTGACGTTAGTCTATTGTACCTTTTTTATAAATTTCTTTTTAGTTATAGAGGGACACATCTTTATTTTGTTTATTTATTTTTATTTGGTGCTGAAAATCGAACCCAGTGTCTCACATGTGCGATGCAAGCACTCTGCCACTGAGCTAAAACTCCAGCCCCCATTTGTCACAGTGGTCAAAAGGTGTGACTTATGTAGTCCAAGGGGAAGAAAAAAAGAATGTCCACGCACTTCTGCCCTAGTAAATGCTTTATCCACTCAAATCACTCAATACAATTTTTATTCTATAGGTTCTTTTTTTTAAAGAGAGAGAGAGAGAGAGAATTTTTAATATTTATTTTTTAGTTTTTGGTGGACACAACATCTTTGTATGTGGTGCTGAGGATTGAACCCGGGGCTGCACGCATGCCAGGCGAGCGCCCTACCGCTTGAGCCACATCCCCAGCCCCATATTCTATAGGTTCTTAATCAAGACAATGATAATTCTTAATGCTAGGCACTGCAATAGACATCATCAATTCACAGCTAACAATTCTAGATTAATTCTAAGCACTGCAAACACACTTAAAAATGACAGGATAATGACAGACATTCCCTCTGCATGCCAAGTTCAAGTGTCAGATTAAAAGTCTCAAGTCTTAGGCTTTAAGTCCAGCAGTTGCACACTCACCCAGGTCAGGAACAAAGGCAGACTTCTCCTGGGGTGGAGCTGACAGCCAGCTAAGGAGAGGGTCTAGGGAGAAGTTGTGGCTCTCGCCAGGGTCAATATGTGGCTGTAGAGTTTGAGAGTGGTGAGGAAAATGCAGAGGATCAGCAAATGAAGAAAAGTGTTGGGATGTCAGTCCAGGTCCTTATCAGGCTCTCAGTGTGAGAGCATTATTGTCAGCTGGCTGAATATCTGTTCACTTGCTCTATTATTTATACTAAATTTGGGGGCTTTTGACCCCTTATCTGCTGCCACTGAATCTCTCAGTGACATCATTTACCCTGGGGTTAAAACATCTCATCTGGTGGTCCCCATCCTGATCTTTTCACCTTTCTCTCTTATTCAGCGCTTTTCCCTCTTATTGGGCAAAGACAGCCTGCCAGAGGCTTCACTTGAGTTTATCAGGGTGGAGAGAAATGACTTGTTTGTGCCTGAGAGCCATACTGGAGGGCTCCATTAGGCATATCTGGTGAGACTGCAGGTTTCAAACTGGAGTTTTTAAAATGGAGTTGCTTAGGCTCAGGCCTAAGACCATCCTCATACCATTGTACCTTTATAGTTTGCTCTGAGTACCACATAACTCAATTTGTCTCATCTCATTCATATTATAACTTAGGACTGCATGTTTACCTCCAAAAATTCTGTGTCGGAAAAGTTTATTCCATCTCAACATCTCTTAAATATTTCACCTATACTTAAAATTTTCATGTTTGACTCATTGAATTAAAGTGTTTTTCAAATTGAGTTGTTAATTTTATACAAAATATGAAAAATTTCTTCTGATGCCAGCATCCTGATCTTGCTTGAGTTTCTTTTTCATTAACACATGTAAGACTAGTCTGGTTGCTTCCACACAACCTAGAATGTGATTTCATTTCCATTGCTACATAGCCCTGAACATCAAGTATGCAGTTTCTCTATTTCCCCTGAAAATACATATACTTTTTACATTCTGGGGAGTTTCTGGTAGAATGTTTACTCCACAATTTTCACTCATTAACTTTAAGGCTTTAGTGGAAAAACAGATTAATTTAGATCTATATCACCATTAACAATTACTATCAAAATTTTTATATACTGAACCCAGGAAACTTCATTAATGATTTCAACAATACTTGTTCCTCAAAAGAAGAATATATTAGGATTAGAGAAAGGAAGATAAGTGATTTTCTTAACTCCTTTCAAAGAATTATAAACCTAAAAAGAAATAGAAAGTGTTCAGTTGAATCTCTTGATTCCTAGTGGAAATAACTTGATTCTCTTACTGGAGAGAGATCAAACTGAGAATGGTATCCTGAAGCAAGTTAATTCTACCTAAGAATGAGCCAGCTAGACTATTCCCAAAATTGACATCAGGTGGATAGCATACATTCTTTCAGAATCTTCATCAGGATGTTCTTGGTGTCCTGAGCAACTAACTCAAGGATGCGCCTATGTCTCATGAATCTGAAGTGGTGGATGACAGGATTACCTAAGAATGGTATATATCTAAAAACTGTTAGAAATGCCCTCATGATTAAGCAAGTCATGAATTTCATTTTCCAGTCACCTTCACAGAGAGTGTGCAAATCCTGGGACTTCATGATGGTCATGTAGTCAAAAGCCCATGTCCCCATACTATGAGCCACCTGCTGAAGTGATGCATCATCCACACCAAAGAGCAATCGGTAGGCTTCCAGACACTCCCCCAAGTCATCAGCATCCCTAATGCCAAGAATATCCTCCACATGCTCTGTGGATAATCTCCCCTTCAAGGAGTTCACTTTATCATTAATGATCTTCTCACAAATGTGGGAAAGCATGACTAAGGGACCATGGCACCTGATGTCAGAGAGGTCTATTTTCAATGTATTCCTAAGCTTTGGGAAGTCATGCAATAAAGGGTCAAGGTTAGATACAAGGAATATGGGGGGTTCCCACACACCCTCCTTCTGAAGATTTTCCTTGATATTCTCTTGGATATTCTGTAATAGCTGTCCCTTTGAGAGAGCACTTGTGCTGAAATCCCTGTCCAGCTTAGTCCAGACAACATAGAACCTCTTTCCCATCCCCTGAATGGCTTTGGCAAGCTTTACATGATTCATGCTGAACTGCTCAGATGCAATGATGATAAAGAGGTCATATTGGCTGAATTGCATCTCATTCAGATAGTTCTCCAGACTTTGAGCAGTAGTCCCCAAGCCAGGCAGGTCCCACAGCACCACATTGGGAAAGTGGAAAGAAGAATAGCTTCCTCTTGTCTGGGTGGTTGTCACCACCCCAATAGGAGCTGAGGCCTTCTCCTCATGTCCCAGGACTCGCAATGCATTGATGAAGGATGACATACCATTGCCTGACTCCCCAGTCACAGCAATGTGTACTTGGTTTCTGGACACTGTCTCTACAGCCCTCCTGAACACAGAGACCACTTCCAACAGCTTTCCTTCTTTCAAGGACTTCTCAATATTTCTCCTCATCTCTTCAGTTAAAATGTTCCAGCCTGTATGGTATGACACAACAGAAGTGAAGGATGTAGACAATGGAGTGTAACAGGACATTGGGGCTTTTGCCATATTTGTGAGTAGTGGAGCCACCTGCAGAAATAGAATAGAGGGAGTTAGACACAGTGTGACACAGGAATCAAGAGAGTTCACATCTCATTCCCGGGTTTCAGATATACAACAAAAGAGATAGCAAAGAATTTCAATTACAAACAGAGCAAGCAAAGTATTCATTAAGGAAATTTACACATTCTTAGGGATTATGGAGTTCCTAAGATTGCTTGGGGTTTATGTGTCAATGGTTAGCCCCAAATCAGGACTGTGACCCAATGAACTTGAGCAGGAGAATGTCAGGCAAGTCATTGAGGTGGGAGCACACATTCTTATTCTGCCCCATTTTGTGGGAAGAGACTGGAAATGCCGGTAAGACCAGCTTTCCATAGTGAGTAATTCACTGGATAAAGATGTGCTAGTCCTCCCTGGGGTTATCTTTTTTCATCAAGAACAGTTCAATTATTGTCAATAATCCTATTAAAAGTGATTTTTTTTCTTTTTCTGGCAGTATTGTGTTTCTTAAAAAACTGAGATGATGTTCACCAATAACTACAGCCTCAACAGACAAGTCAGAACAACTTTATGAATAATCTACTGATTTTAAGTCAGCACTTAAATTTTTATATTTCTATGTATAACTGTTGATAGTGTTATTCATTTACATATTCAAGACATTATATGAACATGTTTCTCTTATTAGCTTAATTCTTGCAATGAGATTGAAAGCATTTGTGGAACAGGATTATAAAGACAATTAGTTGGAATTATCCAGTGGATTCGACTCAAGACTATAACACATAGACTTTTCTTGGCTGATGGACTTTCATAATCCTACATTTATCTGTGATTGCTATGGTACTTTTCTTAAAAGTACTTAATCACCTCTTTGTGCATGAATATGAAATTTTTGAAATTCAAGACCATTTCTTTAGCTGCAGAGTTGCTTTTTTGTGTCTCATAGAATCTTCCTGACCTATAAGGTACTCCCTAGCTGGCCCACCAGTGGGGTCCCCTGAAGCTTCTGAGGTCCTATAGGGTACTCACAACTGGTGTAGTCAGGTTTCTGTCCCAGAAGGCCTGCTATTTATTCTTTCAGTAGGATAAATTTCATAACATGAACACATGTAGGTTTCATGGTGCTGTATCTTGCTCTTCACAACTTTCCTGAAGACACCACTGTCCTTGCTCTTCTCCTGGGGTAGTCCCTACCTGCAGCACAACAATACTCTCCATATTCTTCTAGCTGCTGATTTTCTAGCTCCAAGGTCTACATGCACCTTCCCCATGGATGAAATAATCTGAGAATCCCTTGAGGATCAGCTCAGATCTTTACAACATAGACAAGTTCCTAAAATCCCAGTTTTCTGCCTTGTGTTTTCAGGAAATCATGCTACCTGCTCTCAGGATTCATGTGAATATTTCATAGCAGGATCCACAGTATGTTAGAGTCCTCTTGGTGAAGGCTCTTTGGTTGTCTTATACTCTCTGATAAAGACTTCCTCTGGTTCTTTTTCCTCCCTCCAACTTTAATCGCACAGTATGAAAGCGATATATTTGTGAATCTGTCAGTGCTGAGTCTTTTTCATGCCTTGTCTCATTTAATCTTCCTCAAATCCTAATCTTCAACCTTGACTATGTTTGAAGAAACAGAGAATTATAAATAAATAACAAATCTTGAATTACATAGAAGGTGTGTGAGGGATTCAAAAATTGAACTTCTGAATGTGATTCTATTTTTCTGTCTGGCAAAGATAATCATATTTAATAGAAATCTAGCTCCCTGAGATAATGATTATTGATGCTGAGGTACTTCCCTTGAGGTCACTGATTTAGTTATAACAATTGTATTTGCAACTACTTGAATTCACCTTTAACAATTTTGGGAGAGAATAGAAATTAGCTTCTGTCTCTTCCTATCATACCATCATTGATATATAATTGTAAAGGAAATTCCAACAGTGTACCCACTAATTGGAGCCTATTCTAGGAGGTTTAGGAGAGGGAGGTACCTAATGAAATAACCAGAGAGATACTAGGTGTCCATTACAGACCTCACCACAGTCATGAACCCAGGGAAAAAATCTTCTGTGTGAGTTCCAGGTTGTGTGCAAGGAATTTTCTGTCCCTGGATCAGGCTCTGTAGATCTTAGATTAGGGATCTTAGAAAGTCTTAATATTAATGTTAGGGATCCTTTGGGGCTAGTAATCCAGAAAGGATGGAAAGAAATGAGCATCCCCTGAATCATTCCCCCTGATTGGTCTACAAATGATCAAACCTTATATATGGATCTATATCACTTTGAATTCTCTCCTGATAGATCAAGTGAAAGAACCTGGTATTTCAACTTGCTTGAAAGTAGGTGTCTCTCCTACCATGTGATGTCTTCTACCTCACTGAGACTGTAGAGACTCCCCACCAACAAGAAGTGGCACACCAGATGTGGCTATCTGATCTTGAATTTCCCAGACTACAGAACAGTGAGACAACTAAATCTCTTTTCCTTATAAATTGCCCAATCTCAGATATTCTCCATTAGAGCAATAGAAAATGGACTAAGACAGGTAATGGACCACATCCCTGAATAGGCTTTGCATTTTTAAATGACTGGGGAAAAAATCAAAAGAAGAACATTATTTTGTGACAAATTTAAAATATGTGAAATTCAGACTTCAGTGTCCATCAGTAAAACTGGGGATACAATCATTCCCATTTGCTTACACATAGTCTCTGGCTGCTTTTGTGCTACAGCAGCAGAGGATCTAGAGAATTCCTAAAAAAAATCCCTACCAAGTAGGGGAAGAAGATTTCAAGAGGCATTAATGAGACAGAACAAAAGAACAACCTTTACACACAGATATATGATCAGGATTCGGGACTCATCAGAGGTCAGGGAATGACACAGAGCAAAATCTGCTTCCAGAAACCAGAGTGGGGCTTTCTTTATTCGGACTCTGCCTTCATCAACTGAAAAATGTCTTTTTAGAGGACATTAATACTTAGGGAAATGAAGATCATCAAAAGTAGATCATCTCTTCCATATAGTATTTTCTACCTTGAAAGTCACCACACCTCTTCCCAAGACCTAAGAGATGGAAGCCCAAGAGAGTGAATATAGTTCTTAAATCCTGATTGAGTGGGTTCTGTTTTCCCACAATAAAATAATAATGGTAAATTGGAATTCAAAAAAGAAGATTTGGGAAGTATCAGTTCATGCTTATTATCATACTAATACATTCTTGTCACTTCCAATAAAATAATTCCTCTAGATTATTTACCCAATGCCTCTGGTACCTACTAGGTATTTGATCCATTTCTATCTAATGAAAAGAAATATATTTTATAAATCTCTCATTACTAATTGACAGGACAATTAATTCTCCTTCTTTAAATCTGTCAGCTGAAGAACTAAAGCCTGTTCCCCACACACCTCTGACAATTGCTCTTCTATGGGGAGGGGCTAAGACAAGTTATTGACCTGTATAACAAGGATGGGGGAAGTAGGCATTACTCCTACACTTTTTGAGAATATTTATGTAACCAAATCTTACTTAAGTCAGGCCCTTCCAACCTGTCTCCTCAACTGAGCTCTTACTTCTGTGCTCTGTGAGAAAAGGTATCTATGACCCTATAGCTCTGGACCCAACATCCAGATTATTTGCCCTCAATGCCTGATTCCCTGGTCCATTGCCCTGCACCCTGATGCTGGTCACAACTGTATAGTAGACCCAGATGAGATCAAGTACCAAGGGCCTTTGTAAACAGTGTTCTGCTGAGGTTCATGTATCAAAGAGACCAGGGAAAGACCTGGATAACTCTGGGTGAGGTTGCAGGATCCTCCAGGGAGAGTCAGTATTGAGGGTTAGTATGGGACAGCTTTAAGACTCTGGGGCTCGCAGTGCTGAAAATTGGCATTTGCAGAAAGTCTATCAGAGTATACTCTCATAGCCCCTATACTCCCTTCTTCGATGACACATCCCAAATTATACCTCTGACCTAAGGAAGGGGAGCAGACTATTCTGGCTTCCAAAGGGAGCCCAACAAGGAGGTTGAATTAGAGGAAAAACAGCTAGGCTTAAAAAGAAGAACAAAACCCTGTGAGTAGCATCTTTAAAGTCTTCTGACTTAAATCCACTGTAAGAGATGCATTTCACGTGATAATCGTGCACACATGTTCAATCACAGGCAAAGACCTGAATGAAGATCAAGTCACGTGATTTACTTTTTTTATCTTTAGTCTATTCTATTATATTCTGTTGAATGGTATTTTATTGAATTCTATTCCACTACTTTAATGTTGGCTGCGACCCACAAAATACATTTTATGACTTAATTGAAAAAATAAATAAAGAAGGCTTTTTGTGGATTTCCTATGCAGGGTTCTATGTAGTTTAAGCTTCTTTCAACTACCCTGAGCCCTTATCAAAGGGAATCAAAGATATGTGGACTGGACTAGAATGGATCTGAAGCACCAAATAGTTTTTGAACATAGATCCTATATGGGTGCAAAGCCTTGTTTTATTGTTTATTTCATCATCATCAGGAAAGACTAAGGAAATATCAATGTGCTAATTTATTCCAGAAAAGGGTGGCAAACCTCTCCGGGATCAATGGGTGCAGTACTATACCTAGAATGCTCTAGGAAAAGTCTATATGGAATGAGTTGGAGCCCAGCAACAGAGCTAGTTTCTACATGAAGATAAAATATTTGAATTGAGTCAGGCAAAAAGGTCACTCTGATACATCATGCTCAAAATTCAACCTCAGATACTAATTCCCTGAATGATCCAGGTAAGGAAAACATAGGATGTCATAATTTCAGGCTCTGTTAGATATTGCCTGTGGCTAATTCAGATCCTGGGAGTCTGACCTCACAGGGAACATTTCCAGCTTAGGCTCTAGAAAATGTGGAGGGCATATCCCATCTTCTTCCTAAAAAAATTGGTCCATATCAGAAGAATCAAAATAGTAGGAATATGTAGGTAAGAGAGAAGCATATTACTTCCACACTGGATGTTTTGGAAGCACAAAAATATATATATTAGAGTGCTATGTAGCACCTGAAGGATGTCAGAGAGGAGCTATGAACACACCCTGAGTGCAGTAAGCCTCATCCGAAACTCTTCTGTCCTTGGTGTAAAGGATCCACCTTTAATGTCATTCTATGAGCAGAGTTATTAGTAAGCTGCACTTAGGAGACATTCTCTTACCTGCTGCAGAGAGGTGGCTGTGAGGAGATGTCAGAAGTTCTCCTGGGATATCGCTGCCTCCCTTGGGAAAGGTTGCTGTCCTCAGGCAGAGGCAATTGCCACTCTCAGGTGGCTCCAGAGGGCAGAAGTCACTTATGGAGAGCTGGATTCTTCTGAGGAAGAACCAATAGAGAAGGAGAGGAGAGGAGCTAAAAAGGAGAGTTCAGTCTTCCTGGGTTTTCTTTCTTCAATTCACAGTAGAGTTATTGTGCTGCCCCTGCTCACTGCTCGGTTGTTTGTAGATTTCAGTCTGGTTGCCTGCCTCAGCTCCACAAGGAGGGGAACATTGGTGGGGTAAGGTTTCAGTTTCTATTCCTGTAAATAACTGATTTTCAGGATACAACCATTCAGTTTCCACTTTTGCCTTCCAGTAGGAGTAGAAACCATTCAATTCTAGCCTAAATCCAAGCCCAGGATGTCTTATCTCTGCCCAGGGGCTATGAAAGTTTAGCCCAGGATGAAGACATTCTGGGCCTAGACTTTCTTCCTCACCTCCTGGAGCCCATGTCCTCTGAGATGTTGACATCTGGACAATGTGTGGTCAGGCCCTTTGGATAGCTGCAGGCACTAACCACAAAGTTCTTCCTAGTGGTTGTTGTCCCTGACTAGCTTCATTTGCT